GTTCAAGCTGAAGCTGAAGAAAATTAGAACAAGTCCCTGAGAGCCAAAATATTACTTTCCTTATATCCCATTTGAATTAGAGACCATCTGAAGAATTGATGGATTGAACACTAGTGACCAAAGACTAGAATAATTATTGGATGACATCAATAACATCATAAGTAAAGAAAGCAAAAGGTCATTAAAAAGACAGGAAATGAAGAAAAGACCAAAATGGATATCAGAAGAGACTCTGAAACTTGCTCTTGAAAGCAAAGGGAAGAAATTATGAAGTAAAAGATCTAAACAGAAGATTTCAAAGGGCAGCTCTAGAACACTAAAGTATTATAATGAAATGTGCAGAGACCTTGAGTTAGAAAACCAAAAGGGAAGAACATGCTCAGCATTTCTCAAGCTGAAAGATCTGAAGAAAAAATTCAAGTCTCAAATCGCAATATTGAAGGACTCTATGGGTAAAATATTAAATGATGCAGGAAGCTTTGAAAGAAGATGGAAAGAATACAGAGTCATTGTACCAAAAGGAATTGGTGGATATTCAACTATTTCAGGAGGTAGCATATGGTCAAGAACCAATGGTATTGAAGGAAGAAATCCAAGCTACACTGAAGCCATTGGTGAAAAACAAGGCTCCAGAATTGATGGAATACCCACTGAGATATTTCAAGAAATGGATGCAACACTGGAGGCACTTACTCATTTATGCTGAGAACTTTGGAAGAGGACTACCTGGCCAACTGGAAGAGATCAATACTTGTGCCCATTCCAAAGAAAAGCTATCCAGATTGTGGGAATTATCAAACAATATCATTAATATCACATGCAAGTAAAATTTTGCTGAAGATAATTCAAAAGTGGTTGCAGCCTATATTGACAGGGAACTTCCAGAAATGCAAGCTGTATTCAGAAGAGGATGTAGAACGAGGGATATAGTTGCTGATACCAAATGGATTTTGGCTGAAAACAAAGAATATGAGAAAGATGTTAACCTGTGTTTTATTGATTATTCAAATGCATTTGACTATGTGGATCATAACAAATTATGGTTAACGTTGTGAAAAGCGGGAATTCTAGAACACTTGATTTTGCTTATGAGGAACCTGTACATAGACTAAGAGGCTGGTTTTCAAACAGAACAAGTGGATACTCATAGTTTGAACTCAGGAAAGGTGTGCTTCAAAGTTGTATCCCTCCACCATACTTTTCAATCTGTATCCTGAGCAAATAATCCAAGAAGCTGGCCTATATGAAAAAGAACATGGCATCAGGATTGGAGGAAGAATCATTAATAACTGATGATATGCAGATGACACAATCTTGCTTGCTGAAAATGAAGATGACTTGAAGCATATGCTGATGAAGATCAAAGATTATAGTCTTCAGTATGGATTACACCTCAACATAAAGAAAATGAAAATCCTCACACCTGGACCAGTAAGGAACATCACCATAAATTGAGAAAAGATCAAAATTGTAAGACATTTCATTTTACTTGGATCCAAAATCAACACCAAAAGAAGCTTGTTGTTACATTATTATAAGAAACAGACATTGAATTGCACTAGGCAAATCTGCTGCAAAAGACCTCTTTAAAGTCTTAAGAAGCAAAGATGTCATTTTGCAAAGTAACGTGTGCCCAATGCAAGCCATGGTATTTTCAAGCACCCCATATGCATGTGAAAGCTGAACAATGAATAAGAAAAGACCTAAGAAGAGTTGATGCCTTTTGAATTGTCGTGTTGTTGAGGAATACTGAAAATACTATGGATTGCTAGAAGAACAAATAAATCTGTGCCAGAAGTGCAGGTAGAATGCTCCTTGGAAGCGAGAACAACCAGACTTCGTCTCACTTACTTTGGTCTTATTGTCAGAAGAGACCATTCCTTGGAGAAAGATATCATGCTTGGTGAAATAGAGAGTCAGCAAAGAAGGAAAAGACCCTCAACAAGATGGGTTGGCACAGTGGCTTCAACAATGGGCTCAAGCATAGCAATGATTATGAGGACGGTGCAGGATCACTGTCAGTGTTTCGATCTGTTGTTCATAGGGTCACTATGAGTCGTAGCTGACTCAATGGCACCTAACAACAACATGGTCTGTTCTGAGCTGTCATTATTACTCAATTACAATGACTCTTCAAATCGTGTGGTTTTGTTTGTATGCACTAAAGCATGCACTGTTGTTTTTGTTGCTGCTGGTGTTTTTATGGGAACCCTGGTGGTGCTGTAGTTAAGCCATTTGGCTACTTACTAAAAGGTCAGCAGTTCAAACCCACCAGCTGCTCTGCAGGAGAAAGATGAGGAAGTCTACTTCTGTAAGATTTACAACTGTGGAAATTCTATACGGCAGTTCTACCCTACAGGGTTGCTGTAAGTCAGAATCTACTTAGTAGATTTTTGGGGTTTTTTTTTTGGGGGGGGTTTTATAGTTATTGATTTTTTCATATTTTCTGGTGTTTTAGCTACAATATTGTATAAGTAGTATTTGTGAAGCTATAAGAATAACTTTGCTGAGAATGAAGTAGTAATTAAAGGAAAAGAAGGAGAATAATAAAAAAAGGCTTCCAATCCATTACTGATACTGTTGTCACTAATAATGTAGTAATTCAATGTAGAAAGATTTTACGAAACAATTTTTTTTTGTTAGAATTCATATAATCTAAGAAATATTTCAGCAATTTATAACTATATTTATTACATATTATTCTATTATTAAAATTGATAATAAACATTACTAAGGATTCTGTATAATCTGGTATAGGAGGATGATGGGGCTGATACTATGAGTCACCATACTATTGTTGTTAGGTGCTGTCAAATTGGTTTCTACTCTTAATGACCCTATGTACAACAGACCAAAACTCTGCCCAGTCCTGTGTCATTCTTACAATCGTTGCCATGCTTGAACCCATTGTTGCAACCACGGTGTCAATCCATCTCTTTGAGGGTCTTCCCTGACACCAATCATAGGAATGCCACTGCCCCATCTCAGCCCAGAACTGTGAAATGTGTATTCTTCTGGCTGAGAGACACATGGTAGGAAAATTTGCAATTCAGAGGGCTTACTCCTGACTTGAGCCAGAAACAATGGATGTTGTGTTGTTGTTATGAGGAGTCAGACCCGACTCATAGCGACCCCTCCTTGGGTTTCTGAGGCGGTATCACTACGGAAGTAGATTGCCCAACCTTCCTTCTGAGGAGTGGCTGGTGGGTTTGCACTGCCAGCCTTCTGGTTAGCAGTCAAGTGCCTTAGGCACTACATTATTGATATGTTCCCTTAAAGAGTGGGTCATGTACTGACTTTGCAGTTATGTTGCTTCAGGGAGACAGTGAATAAGGAAGTGGAGGTTGATTGGTGTGGTGGAAAATAACAAAATAAAAACATATATCTGTAGGATTTACTTCCTTTATCGACATTTCTCTCCCTTCTCCCTAATCAGAGGTACTTCTTAACTCTTCCTGGACTTTCCTCAAAGAGAACCATGGGCAAAGAAGTATTTTCTACTCTCTTTTTCTCATGGTACATAGTATTTCTGAGGAGGACCTTTTTCTGAACCCATGGAGCGTAATCAATAGAAACTTTGGAGCCAGTTCCTTCTCTGGGTTATTCATGGACAAGGGTGGGCTTCATCAAACTCTTCATTGTTTATCCTTAAGCAAGGGGATACTTCTTCTCTTTCCATTTGCCAATCATCTGTTTTAATATCTAATTTATTTAGTGTGAATACAAACAATTATGGTAAGCCTGCATTGCAGTGCCCAATCAAGTTTGTGCAATACAAATAGTGAGACAAGTAATCATTTTGTTGACTAGAGTGAAATTTTGATGTTTATTGACCCTGACTTTTAAAATACTGGTGATCCTCACTTTTAAAATATTGGTTCAACTACGAAGGCCCTTATCAACATTAAAACATTTTGTGGGCCCCTGTAAAATGATAGTTACACTATAGTACCAATTTATGGCCCCAAATTCCTCAGAACTCAGTAGCATGTTTAAATAACTTTTAGTATATATTTTTATCATATATATAATATATATTTCCTTCCTTAGGAGCTCTGGTGGTATAGTGCCTAGGGCATTTGACTGCTAACCAAAAAGCTGGTTGAATATATATGTTCAAACCCACCAACTACTCCTCCGAAGGAAAACTGGGCAGTCTACTCCCATAGAGATACTACATTGGAAACCTAAGGAGGGATTGCTGTGAGTCGGAATTGACTCGATGGCAGTGAGTTTGGTTTTTGGTCTGATATATATGTGTGTGTGTGTGTGTGTGTGTATCAGTTAATTCTGACTCATGGTGCCTTCATGTGTGTCAGAGCAGAACTATGCTCCATAGTGTTTTCAGTGACTGATATTTTGAAAGTAGATCATCAAGCCTGTCTTCCCTGGTGCCTCTGGGTGGACTTGAAACTCCAACATCTTAATTGACTACTGAGAACATTAATCATTCACATTACTCAGGGACTCTGTATATATATATATATATATATATATATATATGAAAAGTTGCAGCACATACATATATACATACATATAAGTCATATTACTTGCCTGGCCTATGGGCACTGTTTAAATCACTTATGGATTCTTTGATTGCTTATACTGAGACAGTAACCTCAGGGATCTATGACCGCAAAGCTGAGATTCCAGAACTGGAACAGATTCTTCAGAACAGGTATTGGTAATGCCTAGTTGTTTTAACCCATCGATTGTGAGGATGGCGCAGGACCAGGCAGTGTTTTACTTTGTTGGACATAGGGTCACTGTGAGTCAGAACCTACTCGATGGCACTTAACAATAGTTGTTTTAAAGGAAAGTAATGTAAGGCTCCTAAATGAAAACTGAATCTTTCGTCTGCCAGAGAGAGAAATTTGAAAGGACCCTTTCTTCAAGATTTTGTCTTCCACAGGATGAACATAATGAAGCCATAGACTGGGATTTAATGTTGAGATAATTTTAAAATGACCATATCCTCTTTCTCCCTTTTGTTCTCTCAGTTTGTGGTTTTAAAGGAACACGAAGACCTCAAGTGTGGAAATCAACCTGTAGCCCTAAATGGTGGTCTGGCTGCAAATGGTGAGTTTTCTTCCTTGGAACCTGGTGAATAGTTACCTTTACCTGGGTACTGAAAGTTTTCTAGTGAAAAGAAAACAAAAAACAAACTCACTGCCATCGAGTCAATCCTGACTCATAGCAACCCCTCCTTGGGTTTCCGAGGTGGTATCTCTACAAAAGTAGATTGCCCAACCTTCCTTCCAAGGAGTGGCTGGTGGGTTTGAACCACCAGCCTTCTGGTTAGCAGTCAAATGCCTTAGGCACTATGCCACTAAAGCAGAAAATCAGAGTTGCCATCAAATCAATCCCGAATCATGGTGACCTCACGTGTGTCAGAGTAGAACTGTGCTGCACAGGCGTTTCAATAGCTGATTTTTTAGAAGTAGATCATCAGGCCTTTCTTCTGGGGCACCTCTGGATGGACTTCAAACCTCCAACATTTTGGTTAACAGCCAAGTGAGTTTACTATTTGCCCCACCTAGGGGTGCCTAACCACAAAAACAAGTTAAATTGTATAATCTATGTGAGCAGATGGAATATACTGGAATGAGATGGAGCTTTAGAGCAATGAATTTGGACTAGATTCCTATTTATGTGAGGTCACCATGTTTACTCAAAATGCAAGTTGCATAGCAGTCTGCTAGATCAATTTGAATATGCACACAATGAGTGATTCCTTATTTTGAATTAGGGTGGGTTCTGAGGTCTTTCTTGGGGTTTGGGATCTTCACTGGTAGTTGTAGATACAGTTCTAGTGAAATTGGAAATGGCTACAAGAAAATATGTTCCAGAAAGAAATGTTCCTGTGAGTTTAAATTGATCTGGAGGTTGTTCTGGGAATTTGGGAGTCTTCAGTTCTTATCAGGGACTAGATCTCAGTCAGATGCTTGGCAGTCTGTGAGGTCCAGTTAACCCCTGGGACGAGGGACCATAAAGTCAATCCAAGTTCTCACATTGTTCTGGAACTCAATCTGCTGTTGGTAGAGAAGGAGTTAGATATACTTTGACATAAAATTTTGTCAAGGGTTTATTATGATAAACATCTTAGGCTTGGTTTTCAGATAATCATCTTCCTATTTTAGAATCCAGAGGACATTGTTGCACATGGTTTTGTATCATAAGCCTTTAGACAGGTTTGGAGAAACACTGAGCCAATAAAAACAGTTCCAGGGACTTCAGCTCCACTTATATTTTCTGATATCTGTGCTTCAACAAATAAGCTTATTACCATATTCTCCTCAGATTTCTTGTTATAGAGAACATAGGCCTCTTGTTTTAGAAGATTTACTCTAAATTCCCCTCTCACACATATGTTCCCATATAACCTGAAATACTGAATTCAATAGAACTTTATTGCTTAATTTGAGGAGGGTTCTGGATATTAAAGTACATTTAAGAATTGAATATTAAAACTCCAATCAATGATGTTGTTGTTGTTATTTACTGTCAAGTCGGACCCAACTCATAGCGACCCCTCCTTAGGTTTCCGAGGCAGTATCACTACGGAAGTAGATTGCCCCATCTTCCTTCCGAGGAGTGGCTGGTGGGTTTGAACCACCAGCCTTGTGGTTAGCAGTCAAGTGCCTTAGGCACTTTGCTACCAGAGCTCCCTCCAATAAATGATATAGTTATAAAAACATATACTGGTACCACTATTGTTGCCTGGATAATTAAACCATTCAGCATTTTCAAAAGTTGCAACGATTTTTGCTATTATTGGTAGCACTGTTGTTGTTGTCATTATGTGCCATAGAGTCAGACCCGACTCATAGCGATCTCTCTTTGGGTTTCCGAGGCAGTATCACTATGGAAATAGATTGCCCAACCTTCCTTTCGAGGAGTGGCTGGTACTACACTACCAGTGTCTAGGGGCTCCCTTGGTAGCACTGTTGTTGTTATTTGCCATGGAATTAGATTGCCCAACCTTCCTTTCGAGGAGTGGCTGGTATTATACTACCACTGTCTAGGGGCTCCCTTGGTAGCACTAGTAGAAAGCAATATGAAGATGTTAGACTATCTTGTAATTGTATACTACTTTCCCATGAGAAACTAAAAGTATATAATTCTTTCTTGTAACGATAGTTGTTGCAAGTTAATCAACAGCAAGACTATAGTTAAACTCAGAAAAGAACTAAGGACTTGTTAAAAGGAGTTTAATACTCAGGAATAGGTTAGAATCTTTCTTTTTTCCTCTCTCTATTGCAAACAGTTTAATAGTTTGACCCATTCTCCATGGGCCACTCATACACTGTCCTCTAGTATGAGTGAACATATCCTCAGGTACGTTTGGCTGTCTCATCAATGCCTGCAGTGAATGTGGAGACAGATTTGAGGAGAATGAGATTTGAGGGAAATATGAGAATGAGATTTATCTTATGAGATAAAGCTCATGTTAAAGAGAATTGAGATAAAAGATTGCCTCCAAACCAATTCCTTCTCTTCTCCTGGAAATGAAGGCTGTACTAGTAGTAGATCTGTAGAATCATCCTCACTGACCTCAGGAAACTGAAAAGTGCACGTTAAGATGCAGAATTCCATGCTAATATAAGCATGCATAAAATGCGAGGTCAGTTCTCGAGTCATTTATGGTGCAGATGGGGAGATAAGATGTACACAATGAAAGCTAAAGATCAATATCAGGAAGCATATTCCTTTGAATCATTTCAACTAATCAAGACTTTAATTTTTTAAAATTGTGTCCAGAATAGTTTGAGAATTGGTTCATTTTGTGTGTCATATTTCTTTAACCACCACTATTAGGTTCTCTCTTTTCTCTTACTGTGCATGGTGAATCATGTGCATACTGCATTTCTTTTTTCGTTTGTATAGGGTCAGTGCAACCAGTCTCATACAGGAAACAGCCTCAGATGCATGGAATGGACACAGGGCAAAACTGCTGGATTCCACCATCGAGTAATAAAACCTCTGGTCCCTGGGGAATGGAGCAGATCCTTCATCTACCCTCTTATGTAGCGCGACCCATTGCTGTTGGGGTCCAGAAGCCTTTCTCTTCTCCTGTCAGTTAAGCCATTATGGCAACAGAGGACTCCCACTCCACTATGCTAGATCCATCACAATAAATGTAGCCAACTCAGTGAAAATTCAGAATCAGATTCAGAAGATCAAGAACAAACTGCATCCGTTGGCAGTATATTTCCTTTCCAAAAGTAGAAGAAAAATATAGATCTGGTTCCACAGATATCTCTACAATGACTAACCCTGGAGATAAATATATAGCTGTGCTTTTGTTTCTTTCTTCAACATGTCCCACTGCAGATTTTCAAGGGAGGGTAACCAAGAGAATCACTAGGTGATTTATTAGAAACCAAATTTGAGATATTAGTGACTTGTAAACCATGGTATCTTCAACCATCAATTCTACAGACAGATTTTTACCTCCTTGCAGCCCCAGAAGAAATCTGAGGTTCAAGCAGGCAATCACACAAATTTGGTCAGTTATAAAGTAATATCATTTATCTGGATGGAACCTTTAGTGTAATCTTATGGAATGAATAGAATATTAAAATCACTATTAGGATGCATTGCAAGTATTTTGCTTATCATTGGTATTTTCCATGTCAGTAATTTTGCAGAATAAATTGTGATACATTAATGAAAAATGTAGTGACTTCAAACCTTATTTGTTGAAAATTAGTTGACATATTATTCTGATTTAAAATCTGTGAATGAAAACATTCAATTTTTAAAACATTATCTAAGACATTGCAACATTTCTCAGTGATTACTCTTGTTTCTCCCACAGAAATTTTGTCCCCAATGAAAATGTTAACTTCTTCCTTTGTGAGTTTGCACAAAACCATTTACATATTTTTAAATGTGGGATTGTAAACAAATTATCTGATTCATTTACATTATGGATAGCAATAAATTTCTTCTAATTATTTAAATAAAATCATTGCACATCTGGTAAAGCAGTTAATTATAATCTAAGGGATCATTGAAGTTGAATCAAATTGTCAAGCTTGCTATCATTTGAAATTTATCTAACTTATATTATAAAGGAAAATTTTATATAGTGTTCTAAGTAATTAATCTTGAAACAAAGGAATTGTTATACAGATACTGCCTGACATAATAACTTTGAATTTTGGGGGAATTTCAGTTTATATGTTAACTAGTCTATTATCTTTATCTTTCTTTCATCTTCGATTCCTTGGAGTTTGGTTACACCATAAGTTAGAATAAAAAGGAATTGAAACACATGTCTTCCAGTGGATAAAACCAAACCAAACCCATTACCATCCATGTCAATTCGGACTCATAGTATCTTTTTTTTTTTTTTTTTTAAATTGAGATTTGGGTGAAGATTTACAGAGCAAATTCACTTTCCATACAGCAGTTTACATATACTTTGTCTCATGACATTGACCACAGTTT